ATAAATCAAGGACCATAACTCCAAGACAGCAAAAGTGAAAATCGTCAATGATTAGCATGACCTCCATTTTTTTCATCAGTAACAACATATATTGAAATATTAAAAGCATTGGTCATGTGGTTCATAAATAATTACCTGAAAAGGACATAAAGTGACATTTTACAATAGATCAAGGAACATAACTCTTGAATAGAAAAAGTGAAAATCTTCAATATCAAACTTGTCCTCCATTTTGTCATCAGTAACAGCAAATTATAATTTGAAAAACACAGGTAGAAGGGTTCTTAAGTTTTTGAACTGTAACGACATAAAGTTTCATTTTCCAATATATCAAGGACCATAACTCCTGAATGCTTATAATATAAATCTTTAATATCAAACTTAACCTTGCTTTTGTCATTAGTATCAACATATCAAAATTTGAAAAGTATTGGTTGAACAGTTCATAAGTTACTGCACGGAAACTGTTGGCAGCTGCCCACCTGAGGTACTTCACCACTTTATTTATTATTAACAGGATTTTTCCTTTGGCAAACCTGGTTAAAAAAAGTAATACACATCAAAAGTAAAATGTAGGTGCATGATTTAGGATTTATTTTGTATCTCATTAACTAGTTTCTTCCTAAATTATAGTATGGAGCAATATACTACAAATTTTCACAAAACAGCCGATAAATATTGTAGTGTAGTTGCAAATACTTTTGGATCTTGAAGATACATGAGCATAAATTCCACTAATAAAATAGAGAGATAAAAGACTGATTTTTTAAAAGCCTTAATTTGCATACATGCAACATTATTTTGGAAAAAAAACAAAAATGGGCAATTATCTTATTGCAAAGAGAAAGTTGGTATACCATGTTACATTCAGGTGCGTGTCAGTTGATTGTTTTGTCCTAAAACCGTACAACACAAAATATTTGATATACATTTGTATCTTTTCACTTCAAATTCAATATTTGTATTTCTCTAATTCTTCGTCAATTTATCCCTTTCTGCACCCATTGTATAAACAAAAATTTAATCAACGTGTGGTTCGTTTGATCTCAGTTCTTCATTGGTTAAAATCCGATTATGACATCAAATTTTCTTCCTTTCCTCTGAATTTCCTATTGTGACGGCATGAAAAAAGGCGACCATGCCTGATGACGTCACATAGAAAGAACACATCTTTTTGCAGATCATTCGAAAAGAAGGAATAAATTTGCCTGCGTATTGTTTGAAAATCATTAGAGAAACAGATTCCACTACCAAATCTCGTGTAATACGATATTTATCCACTCTCGACAGTTAAATTTTAAATATTTAAAACGCTCGGCGAGCCTCGCGTTTTAAATTTGAAAATTTAACTGTCTCGAGTGGATAAATATCGTATCACACTCGATGCAGTGGTAGAATCTATATATATATCATGGCTACATGTTGATACATTAATAACATTAAAAATTCACAGGTTCAAAATATGTAATATATACCGTATACTGTACATGTTAATTCAGAAATTAGTGCACACATTTATTATTGTGATTTCGACAAGACAGACCAAAATGTAAAAATAATTATTGTGATTACAGGAAAAACTGCATACATTTATACATGTGTATGTGTCAGATTTCAGAATGTGAGTTCTGATTACTGCAATACACACCCAGTCCCAATTTTCGGAATAATAAAAACCTGGCAATAGTTTCTGAATTTTAAGTATATGGGTCATTTGAAATACCTTTGTAATGAGTCATGACAACAGAGTATGTGTGTTTGGGTAACAAAAAGAAGCACAAATGTAAAAAATTTAAGTGTATTTGTTACTGGTATTTATTTTTTATTTTCCTACATTTATTTTAAAATTAAATTTAAGGCACAATAATTATTTTATTCATGAAAGTACTACAAAAGAAAAATAAACAGCTGATCCAGGAGCACATGATACATCCTTATTGTGCACATTGAAATTGTTGCAAGAATAAAATGGGATATCTAGCTAGAAGGAATTTAATCATAAGTAAATAATAGCTCTGTAGAAAAATATGTCTGAGGATACCCTTGGGCATATAAATATTGTGTCAAATATGAATGACAAACCAAAAATTTTCAAAATCAAAAGCAAATCTACATTAACCAATCCTTACAACAGTTTTAAGTTTGTAGTAATTTGATCCAAGCATACTAGAGCTTGTGCATGATATCTAAAAAATCAAAACGGATCTTCTTCCATCAATTCCCACAATAATGTAAAGTTTGGAGAAATCAATCCATGAATACTGGAGTTAATGTGCCAATGTTTAACTTTGAAGTTGTAATTTGGTCACTTTGAAAAAGAATAATGGTAATACAGAGTGCTATACAGTCCCAAGATGAGCACAAGCTTATGCATACATTCACTGTTATAAAAAATGCTAAATATAGATTCTACCACTGAATCAATATTTATCTTCTCGAGACAGAACTTTAAATTTTCAAATTTGAATATTTAAAGTTTAACTGTCAAGAGTGGATAAATATTGTGTTGCACGAGATTTTGTGGTGGAATCTTTTTCTCTAATGATTTCTAGACGACATACAGAAAATCTTAATCCTTCTTTTCGAACGATCTGCAAAAAGATGTGTTCTTTCTATGTGATGTCATCAGACATGGTTGCCTTTTTTCATGAGGTCACAATAGGAAATTCAGAGGAAATCAAGAAAATATAATGTCATAATCGAATTATATCCTCTGTTAGGCATTTGGAACTTGTTGAACTGCATGTGAAGATAAAAAAATTGAACAATGAAAAAAATATTTTCATTGTTCAATTATTTTATCTTCACATGCAGATCAACAAGTATCAGGTCTGTTCGCACCTCACATGTTCGCCCCTAGGTCTGTTCGCACCCAATTCTTATTCAAATTCACGTTGAATTATTAGATATTTTTGTATATGTATATACCAACAAAAATATATTTTCCTGAATAAAAATTTGGGAATTATTATATGAATGTTTTTTTTTTTTTTATCAATTTGATGATTAATGAATAAATGTTAATTATGTACAAATGTATGATTACTGCTAACTTGTATTTATACACAGCTAAATTTGGTATTATTGTTGTGTGTTTGAAAATCATGATTGTTGTTTTAACTTGCTTTGATGAAAATACTGCATGTATTTAGCTTGCTATGAGTAAAACATTGAAGATTTTAAAAGAAAAACACGAAAGATAATTGATTTTAACAGCTTGACCCCTTTGATTTCACTTTATTTTAAAACAATGAAAAAAAAATTTATCACAACACTAACCGAAACATAATTTAAGATTTATTCAGCACAAAAAAAAAAACAACGTGAGAATCTCACTTTATTTTGAAACAATGAAAACATATTAAATTTATAGCAACTAGAACACACCCACAAAATCGGGGGTATTAAGAGCTTGGTTGAAAGTATGTAAACTGTTGTAGGATGAATTTTTGTAAAAGATTTTATGTCTGGAGAATTTCAGAAAAGGTAACAAACTGAGTCATAGGCACTTGGAGACAGGACAATTATTTTAAGCCCTCTCCCTTTTTTCCAAAGTCAGTTATTTTTTTGCTCTCTGTTAAATTCCATGATTTTCGCGTTTCTGTATACTATGAACATACATATAATATAAATAAAGTGTATTTGCTATTAACTATCAATTCCAAGTTTCTTCTCCACGGCGATCACTGCTATATTATATAGAGAGTCTATATATTATAGGATTATAATCATAGTATACATGCAGAATAACGTGAAAATAATTGTCCTGTCCCCGAGTTATTATGAAAATTATGTTTAAAGAGGGGAGTAAAAGGGGGGGGTATCTACACGGAAGAACGCAAAATAAAATTGCCATTTTACGATGAGCGAACAATTAAAAATTTCTTGCACGTTGATCTTTTTATCAATTTCAAGAAACACGGTGAATAACGAACCTTTATCACGGCTGCACGTGATATAAAAAGTGGCAAAACACTTTGCACGAAAATAACCCTTTACCCCCTCTTTTAAAGTTTAAAATCGGAAGTCTTGGGTATGACTTTAAAGTCGATGACGGAAACAATATCCGGACGCCTTTTTCTTCGTTTTTCTCCCAAAATAACCCAAACTGAATAATCATAAGAATGGATGACAAATGCGACTATGCATGGTACCTATAAGACACAGAGGCATGATGATTAATTTATTGGGGAAGGAAGAGAAACGACACACAAAATGAGGTCTTCTCGTTTAATAGTATAGATACACTAACCAAAAGATGATTAAGATTTATTCAACACAAATAAACTAATGTTGTGAGAATTTCAATTTATTTAGAAACAATGAAATTTTTTTTTATAGCAATACACTAACCAAAACATGATTAAGATTTATTCAACACAAAAAAATGTTGTCAGAATCTCACTTTATTTTGAAACAATGAAAAAAAAATATTTACAGCAATACACTTACCAAAACTCAATTACAAAATTATTTAACACAAAACCAATAAAAAGGGTGCGAATGGACTTTGAGTGCGAATGTGTAGGTGCGAAAGGTGTGAAAGGGGTCGAACATGAATGGGCGAACGTAATTTTTGGCGAACAGACCCGGATTTGTCTCTGCACTCTCTGGTGAAGAGTTGTCTCATTGGCAATCATATAAAATCTTCTGTTATTTAAATATAATATAGGCAAAAAGCAAAGATAAAATACATAAATTATTGTTGAATTTCAATTTCAATTTCTCTCAATTACGTCCACAGAATTCCACTTCAGTTCATAAACCAATTATTTTTAAATGATTTTTTGGGATGGTGTCAGTACACAATCTAAAAAGCATTTACTGCTGATGCAATTAGAATTTAAAATCGTTTTGATAGTATATAAATTTTTAAATAAAGATTTTGAGTGACTTACTTCTAACAAACAGAAAAAAATGATAATGCACAAAGAAAATCAGATACACTCCAGTTTTAGCTATATTGTGCCACTGAAACATAAAAGGGAACTTTTACATACACAAAAATATATCGGGTCTCTTGGTTGGATCGCTTTCTGTCTTCTATCCTGTCTTCCTTCTCGCTTCACTGATCTTTGTTACAGCAGCAGATGTCGCTATATTCACCCTGGCTGATCCCGACCAAGTAGATGGGCATGGAATACAAATACATTTTGTACTAGATATCAGTTTTTAGATTTACGAAAAGTTTATTGAAATTTTCAAAAATTCGTTAATTTTTTTGCAAATAAGTTAAAAATATATTTTTATCCAAAAAGTGTTATGTGCAGTTTATGTCTGCAGTGGCAGCATTTTTCTTGTGCAAAACTAAAAAATGAACCAAAAGCAAGGCACTGCATGGTTTTGTAACACTTGTAAATCATTTTGAAGTTGTTGAGTTTTACCTTTAATTTCAAAACTTAAGGGATATTTTTATTATAATTTTTAATTAGAATATCTATTTTATATGCATGCTTTGCTTAAATAATATATTTTTTTGTATGTAAAGTAACTTTTAATTTCAAAACTTATGTGATATCTTTTTATTAGAATATCAATCCGGCAAAATAGCAAGCCTCTATATAAATTTCTTTTTACCGGCTCCGGCAAAATAGCGCTAAGGAGGCTATTTTGCCAGAGCCAGTAAAATAGCACCGTGGGCCTAAGAGGCGAATTAAAGAGATGTCCGGCCAAATAATAAGTGTTATTGGTTGTATTTTATTAAGAATGAACTGTTTGTTATTGGTTTAGGTGATGCATGGTATAGCCAAAACCTTATTTCAGACTTGCCTGGTGTATATTTTGCTGTCATAAATAGCCTAGTCAATTTAGCTCTAAAATCACTCAACCTTCAACTAATTGCAACACAAGGTTTTTTTAGTGCAAATTATAATATAGACTTGTACTAACAACATACTAAAACTATACATTAATATAATTTGCGGAAAAGGTTATTTTTGGGTGAAATATGTGGTTTTTAGAGAAAAAATGCTGAAAACTGGAAAAGAAGAAAAATTGTTATCTATGTTAACATTTTTAGACCTAAAGCTTGTTGAAGACAGGAAACCTTATCTTAAAAGACTATTATGTAGTCATCTGGTTATTATTATTCATAATGAAGTAATTTTGAGGTGAAATGAGTGATTTTTAGTGAAAAAACGTCGAAAACTGGAAACGTAGAAAATCTCCGTTGTTAATGGTTAATATTTTTGAAATTTGATCTATATAGAAAAAAGAACATACTATTTTATGTTTATTTTGTGAAGTCCTTTAGTTATCAATATTAATATTTGGGTAATTTTAGTTGAATATATGTTTTAAGACAGAAAACCCAAAAACTGGAAATGAAAAAATCTCGGTTATTGATGGTTAAAACTTTCGCATTGGGATCTAAATAGAAAATACTATCTGATGTTTATCTTAAGAAGTCCTATAGTTATTAGTATTTAAAAAAATTGTAATTCTTGTGTAAAATGTGATTTGTAGAGAAAAATTGTGAAAAATAAAAATAAAAAGCTCGGTTATTCATGGTTAAAACTTTTAACATAGGATCTTTAAAGACAGACTATATTATCTTATGTTTATATGCATATGTATTCCTCTTATTATCAATATCAATAATAATCAATTTTTTGGGTGAAATATTTTGTTTTATGAACTAATTACAGAACAAGAATGTGTCCATAGTACATGGATACCCCACCCGCACTATCATTTTCTATGTTCAGTGGACCGTGAAATTTGGGTCAAAACTCTAATTTGGCATTAAAATTAGAAAGACCATACCATAGGGAACATGTGTTCTAAGTTTCAAGTTGATTGGTCTTCAACTTCATCAAAAATTACCTTGACCAAAAACTTTAACAAAAAAAACTTTAATCTGAAGCGGGACAGACGGACGAACGAACGAACGGACGCACAGACCGAAAAACATAAAGCCCCTAAGTGAGGGGCATAAAAAAATTAAATTTCAAAATCTTGGTTATTTCCAATTTGAATTTTGAAAACGTAAACAGGGAATGTGTCAAAGAGAAAACAAGGCGACTATAATGGGTCTTTAACATAGCAAGTTAATCCGGCACACGGAGGTAGGCTTCGGCTGACCCCTTAATTATTTTGTACACTAGTTCAGCGAAATGGACACCACCTTAAAGGCCTTGAGTCGGTTTCACAAAAAAACTTACGACTAAGATTGATCGTAAGTCATGGACAATTCAGTATACTTACGATCAATCAGTTTTTTTTTGTGAAATCGACTCCCGAACCTCCTAAACTCCAATACATACAAGTGACCCAAAATTATCAACAACAAAAAACACACACAAGACAAACAAAGGCTAGATCTTGAGGTTCCTGACTTGGGATAAGTGCAATAATGTGGCTGGGGTAAAACATATTGTGTGAGAACTCAACCCTCCCCTAGTTTCTCTAGACAATGTAGAATAAATAAACACACAGTAAAACTCAGTTTTAAAAAAGTGCATTTTGTGGAAGTTTGAAATTTTTATCTTATGTTTCTGTTATGTATTTATAGCAATTATACGTGTAGGTATAATAAACAAAAAAAATGATTGTGTTAAAAAATAACTGTAAATCATGACTTTGATTTTGTCATGTTAGTTGCTGGAAGAGTTATTTTTCTAGTGTCCTTGCATCGTCATTGATTGTAGTCCTTTTTTTGTTTATTTTTTTATTAGCTGCTTTTTCAACATTTGAATTGTATAAAGTCACAGTTAATCACAGACTAATTTTATTTAGCAAGCTCTATCAATATCCAAGTTTAATTTCAGATATATATAAGCTTTTTAAATTTGATAACATTTACTAGTTCACTGAATTAGCATGGAATAAAGATCTGATATTGTTTAAGGCAATTTCAAGGGAAGCTTTGTCAATATGATTATAAGAGCTTGAATTTAAATAGTAATTGTACCAAAAGGGTCCAATTTTGGATGTTGAAAATGAGATAAGCACTGTTGAATGAATTGATGGGATCACTTCCTGGAGGAAGTGTTAATAGTAACAGCACCTTATGTGTGTACCCAGCAAGGTAAAACCTGTATGTGGTGGTCTGAAACATCAACCAAATGATAATGACAAAGGACTAACATGGGTTGTCTGCTGTATGAAAATATTATGGTCAAAGATATATATATATATATATATATATATATATATATATATATATATATATAAAGAAAAGCATTACAAAGTTCCTTCTTTAAGATATTTCATTGAATTAATTTAATAAAAGGTAATCAGCTTTAGCCTAAGAACTGTTAAAAAGTGGACGACTTATGGCCAGAGTTAGCGTTTAGATAGTCATGTCTAATCTGAAATTAAGTCTGTTGGTTTTTGTTAGTCGTTTGGGTTGCTTTCTCATTGACTTTAAAAACCTCAAATCTCTCTTTATTCATGATTATACTCTATTATCATGATTATAGAAATATCAATATTAAAGACGCCGTTTTCTGCTTCCAGAATGTGCTGACCTGTATTCAACTCATTTGAATGAAACTAAAAAAATATTTAAAAAAATACACCTCATGCCTAAAGAATATAAATGTTTAGCTTTTAAGGTCAACTAAACAATATCAGTGATTTCTCGGTAGTATGTTTGATCGATTGCCAGTGAAACCATAATTTATTGTAAAATATCCCCACTTCAAAAAAATAAGAAGATGTTGTATGATTGCAAATTAGAAAACTTTCCACAAGAGATAACAATGATGTGGGTGTGGATGTTAACAAACTATAATAGCTCATCGTTAAAATATAAAACTGTTAAGACAATAAATGGAAAAACAAATACGACAGACAGAAAACAATAACCACCAAATAATAAAGGGCCACTTTCTTGTGATAATCATATTAATAGTGTGCAGCATTAACAATGTTTGCGAGCACTCAACCCTCCCATAATCAGGAACAGTTTTGAAATAGCAAACAACATAAGAACATATTGTAAAACTCAGTTGGAAAGGGTTCGACTCAAAAAGATAAGCGCGGAGTATATAACCAATTAACAAATAGACACTGAGTTCTAATAGCAAGTTCAAAGCTAATTACAGTTGATGAATAAAAACTGTTGGCACCGACTAAAATATAAATCAGTACACATCCGATTAGCAACCAAAGTGAAAAGTGGATTCAGTGTTACAGCCAAAGCTTTATTTATATGGTGAGTGAGTACTGAGATCGTCGCTAATTACATGAGTAGCTATTTGCTTCGAGGAGCTTGAAATTTTCATTTGTGAAAAAATATTTAACATACAATCATTTAACACTCATCATTCTTATTTTTTTATGAAAAAACATTGTTGGATTCTAAATCTTAACATGTTTGTTCCAGAAGGATATAATAAAAATAAAAATATTGTTTTCTTTATAGAGTTGTGGGGAAAAAATACATGAAAGACTTTGAATTTCAAAAATTAAGTCTTGCATTAACATTTTTTTTATAAAGGACAAAACATGTGTTTCGAGAACCCCTCCCCCCAACAAAAATTAACTGTACGTGCCTTTAACACACGGGCAGAATTCTTTCAAATACTGTGTAAGATTGTGACGAAGTTGGTTAATCTAATTCAGTACAGTTTTCCATTTATAGGTTACATACCAACACTATGGTGGAGAATTAGATTATTGGATTGTAAAATAGCAGAACACAATTGCGGTCTATATCTTTATTCAAATATACAAATTTTGAGACAAGAAAGTGATGCATTTGTTATATTATTTTTTTTAAATTGAGATAATTATGTATTGTATTGTATTATTTAAACTGTTTTAAAAAATACTGAATATTTTTTGTATAAAAAAGTTGTTTTCAACTTTGGCAAATAAGGGGAAGCAACTCATATAACCTTATTTTTACTACAAAAAAAATTGATTAATTACACCACTTTCCGCAAAATATATTTTTGTATAATTTTAGTATGTTGTTCATAGATAGTAACAGACTTGTTTTTCAGAGAAAAACTTTGTGTTGCAATTAGTTGCAGGTTGTTCACTAAATTGACTAGACTAAAAGCAACGTTTATATGATTGTCCAAAATAAAAACTTGATGCCCAGTTGCATACTTCTCTAAAATGTTCTAATTATAAACAT